TGGTAGTCTTGAATTAGCTGCTAAAAACACAGTTATGTATCTATTGTTCCTTTCTTGTTAATCTTGAACAAAACACTTCCTTAATCAAGAAAAACATGTCAGAGAGATTGGTAGATAAAAAAAACCTATTGTATATTTAGTCACTGGTTAACCTCCTAATAAGTACAATGAAGTCAGCATTGTAGAAAATGAAAAAGAAAAAGAAAAAAAAAGAGGAGAGGAGAAGAGAAAGGGAAAGGACCCAAAACCAAAAGAGTTATCTGCTGCTTTAATGGTGTATTGCCATTTCAGGGACCAATAGACATATTTTAAAATTATATTTCCCTGTCTACTTGTTTCCTGGGGACAGAGGCTTATTAAGATAAAAACTGCACTTGCTTAATTTTTAATTTGGTCATTTAATTAAACATTCTATTGATTAGAATGTTAAAGATAATTTTAATGAATGGAAGAGAGGGTTATCAGGTATCTGCCCAACCATTTGCTTTTCACTTTTAACTAGATGCAGCTCCAATTGTGCTTATATATATATAAACAAATACATACATACATATTATGGAATGGATGATCTTGAAGAGAAAAGGTATTAGGATCTTACCCTTTCTTTATAAGACTTTATTCTACTACCAAGCCAAACAAGAAATCTTTCTACCACACCATTCTACATATGATTTGTTATGAGTCTGAACTTAATTCAATTGAACTTGTAATGTGACTGAATAATTCTCTCGTTTCCTATACTAAATACTAGCCAGTTTTAACATGGTAAAAAATGGATTTGTGACCATGTTCTCCGTCACATGGTGACAGATATGTGCAATTGTCAATGATCTTGTATATTTCGTTGTATAGAAATACTGCATTATATTCTGGTTTATTAATATGGTCACTGAAAAATCAGTAAAAACTTTATATAAAAAACTTCTAAGTTTCATTTTATTAAAACATTATTTTTAAATAAAAAAATTTACCTTTATTTTCCTTTCACAAATCTGAGAAGAAATGAAATGAATTGTTTGAGAACAATTGATTTACACTTAATTTGCTATAATCAGGTACAACTTCTCAAGCAGACTGAAATTATGATGAATTGCATAGACTGGATTCACTGTGAAAAATGACAGGTCTTTAAATTAGAATGAGGCTTTCTCCTGTTTCTTGCTATTCCTTCTGTTGGCGCTCAGTTGGAATTGTAGAACAAATGCTTTATCAGTGGAGATGCTTAGTTAACTAACTGGTCAAGCAGTATTTAGTTTTCAACTGTGAGAATTTGACACACATGGAAATGTGTGCTTGATTGATGCTTTCACTACTAGACGATTAAAAAGATGCAGTGGATGAGACTGGTCACTTTTGAAAATTCAATAATGTTGGATCAGCACATGAAGTTTTAGTGGAAAAGATATACTTTCCTGTGGTTGTTCCTGAATAGCTTACTCATGAGTTTTTATGAGATGGTGAGAGTGCTTTCCTGAGGTTAAGTTACTGAGACTCTTGCATTCCACATAATGGCATTCAAAGGTTGATTGAGGCAACATCTTGAGCTACAAAAAAGCAAAACACTTTTTAGTCTAGCAAGTTGAATAAGCGCAGTCAATAAGATTAGTTTAAGGTTCATAAGTCATGATAAAAAATGGATGAATGGAATAAGCATGCTTCAGTTAACATGGGAAAGCATTTTGTACAAACATATTATTTGGTCTTCTGTTTTTTTCATTGGGTCCCTAGATTTTTATAAAGCTTAGAGATCATTTGTATTTTCTGCCCTCAGTACTGTCATCAGTATAAGATATTGATGTTTCTTCCAATTGCAGAACCGTATCTAATCCAGCATCCTCAAAGTTAAATTAAAACTATTTATTTTCTCTTCTACTGTATCAATCTTCTCTGCTAATATATGGGTACTACCAGCTATCTATTTGGATCATAGTACCAACTGAAGTATAATGGCTTCCCTCAAAGAACCATAGAAAAATTAGCTAAGGGAAGATGCTCTGTATCATTTTAATGACTCCAAAGCCCCTCCCTGCAACATGGAATCAGGGAAAGGGCTATAAGTACTAAAACACATTAATAAAGAAGGGGTCATCTTAATTGCATCTCACCAATTTGGATGATTTGGAACAGTTCCAGTTTTTGCTTCCTGCTATTGGTTCCCCAAAGCAACCTGTATGATCAAAGCTATCTTACCTTCTACCTTCTGAATATCCAATTCTCCTTGGAACATAAATAGACATAATATTTATCAAGTTCAGTAAAGAAAAAAGAAAAGCAGATGTAGATATGGATCAGTTTGTTTATCATTAGAGAGAAAAACAATTCCAAATATCTCTAATAACAAGCTGGCACGGTTTAGAACTGATCTCTTACTGCTGTTTGGTTTGGGTCACTTTTTCTGACTGAAGTGGAAATTGAAAATTTGTACTATTGTTAATGGTACACGTGCATACAAATAGTTGCAAACTAGATTGGCAATGCATGAAATCATTTCCCAAGTTGGAGTGTTAATTGTGCCCTGCAGTAGGATGATCAGCTTCAGATGGCTCCCTGAGCAAGGAGAGGAACGGATGAAGACACAATTGAAATGTTGAACACTGCAGCAATACTTCATAAAGCATTCCTCTTAGCAGGATGTCTGGGAGAGGGGGAGAACTGAGGCTTCAATTTGCACAGTGAATATCTTGAGCCAACATGGAACATTTAGTTAGAAGACCTCATCCTCTACGGATGAGACTCTGCAACAGTGGGTGTGGGAACTGTGGATGTCTGAATGCAAGCATCAGCCCAGCCTTTGGCCTCTGTTTACGAAGTGTCCACACTTTCCCTGCTGTGAGTAATAAAGCCTGCAAATGGTTGCACATGTGTTTCCATTTATCTCCTAGCAGCCATGACTCACTGCTGGGCGCTCAGCCGGCTCCACTCCTTGGCCGTCAGCAAGACCCGCCTCCAGCCTGGCTTCCTGACCCTAGCATTGTCAAAACACTTATGCGCACTCTTTCAGTGCCTATTATAAATTTATGTGCCCCCAGGACATTCTGGGGCAATTTTACAGTAAGCAAATATCCTCCTCAGTATCTTTCCTCAGTATAGGGCAGGGGTGTCAAACTGCCGGCCCGCGGGCTAGATGCGTCATGCCGAAACCGCGCCCACCTCATTGCTGGCAATGGAAAAAAAGTCGCGATACGTCACGGGACATTGCAAGTTTGACACCCCTGGTATAGGGTGAATGGAGGCATCCTCACTGAGCTCATGTGGGACATTGAAATAGCAGAAGTTAAGGCTTAGTGTGTCTACACAAAGTTCCATAAAGTTTATCATGCAGAACATTAGACAATGACCATTTTCAAGGGAAGTGACAGAATGTGGTTTAGGCCATTTCCAAGGAGAGAAACCAAAGTTGCATGAAAAGAGGCAGAGTTTGAAATGGAGACTTCAAATCTTCCTCATTCCCCAACTTTTATAAAGTCGGCTGCTCTCAACCCAAATACGGTGCCAATCTTACCAAATCCAAGTTTCTCCTCAAGATGGTATTCATGGGGAATATACCATACCATATGGGGAAAACATGCATCAACCTGCATAATCAGATGATGGAAAATATAAAAATAATTTGAAAAAATATTAAAATCATTTAAAAAAAGAACAAAAATGCTCTAGTGTGAATGTCTAAGAATATGTGATATACTTGGCACTTAACATATTCTGCCTCTAAAATATTCAGGAATATTTAGAAGAGCATACTTGGTTCTTTTTTGTTAGGAATGTGGCTGAGATGCCATTCAACCAATTAACTCAGAACATTTATGAGTGTCTGTAAACATGGAAAAAACATATCCCTTACCAGGAGAGTCAAAAACCGGTCCCCCAAATTTTATATCAAAAGACTAAGGATGCATTAGTATTGAGCTTCAAGTTCTTTACTTCATATTTATTGAAAATCAGATTTCTCATTGATGCCAAAATTCAAGGTTGCCTAGAAACGCCATCTTCTATCTTAAGTTTAATGCAGGGAGAAAAATGGGGGAAATGCCTTTTCCAAGACTCTGGAACTAATACTGATCACATTTCACAATCTTGATAAACCAAGTCCAGCAGATTGGTACTCTGCTTTCAGAGCGATGTCTATTTTCTTCAGCAGCTGTTGGTTTATTTCTGGTGAACTTATTAAGGTTGACAGCCTTGCTAGTAGCAGCTAGGCCTTCTTTAGCACTTTTCAGCAAGCAGGTCCCAATTAAGGGCCTGCATCAGGACAGCAATGGACCTGGTGCCATCAGTTCAGTGGGAAGAGGCCAAGTTCTAACCATGGTTTTGAGGAGGAGACTTTACATCAGGGTGACTCCTGTAATTGCATTAATGATAGTTTTTGGGGTATTTTGTAGTTGTTTTTATCAGGCTGTCAGCCGCCCTGAGTCCGCAAGGAGAAGGGCGGGGTAAAAATTCAAATAATAAATAAATAATAAATAATAAATAAATTCCTTCTAAGCTCGACTGTTCTTATAATTCTGACAAAAATTACTGTTAAAAGAGAGAGCCGGGTTTCTGCCCGGACTCATGAAGAGTGGCTGCTCTTAAGTGGGGAATTCCAGCCTGAGAAGGGTGGGGGGCAACTGTCAAGCAAAGGCAGCCGAGACCCAATCTCTCAGAGCCGGAGGCAAGGGAAGGGAAAGCAGCGCGCACTCTGACCGGAGCAGGCCAACCGCCCGTTTTGGCCCAGCGCCACCTGGAGGAGGGGCTGCGATTCCCTGGGGCCCATTAAAAAGCCAGGCTTAGGCTGGAACCCGGAGAAGAAAACATCTCCAGAAGGCAGAGGCAGGAGCTCTCGGCGAGGCGGTTTCTTTTTCCAGCCGCGGGGACCTTTTCCAGCCTCTCCACCCCATCCCGAGAGGCAGGCCGACTGCAAGGCAAACTTTGAGGGCCGCCAACTGCGGAAGCGGCACGACGCGTCCCCCCCGGAATCGCCACAGATAACGCGCTCCAGAGGACTGAGCGGGGGCGCGCGCGCGCGCGCGTCTGGATGAGGCGGCAGCAACCGTGAACAGTGAAAGCCTCGGCCGTCCCTCGCCAGCCCGCCTTCCCTCCCACCCGCTCCACAAGATGAGTGCTACGCTCCCGAGCCTCCTGGCCTCGCTGGCCGTCTTGCTCCTGGGGAGGATGGACCGCCTTGCCGACGCCTGCAGCTGCTCCCCGGTGCATCCGCAACAGGCGTTTTGCAATGCAGATGTAGGTAAGGAAAATACGGCTGACCGCCCTCCCCTTCTCTGCGGCTCCCCTAGTGGCTTTTCTCGTGGCTTGATCGACCCCGCGTTTCTCTTGTCGCTGGCAGCCCCCTTTTTTCTCCCCTACGGCAAACTCACTTGTTAGCGGCCAAAACAACCCCACCCCTTTCTCCTGCAAGGAAAGAGCCGCCTTGGGAGAAACCTGGAAGGGAGCCGGCGTGTTGATTCCCGCTTGGCCCCTGCCTGGGCAGCGACCAGCAGTTTCCGTCGTTAGTGCGGGCGTCTGAATGCTCCCGGGCTGACTCTGCAGATCCCTTCGGTTAAAAAAACAAACCACCACCTTACCCAAGATGTTTTGAAAAAGAAAAGAAAAAAGCGAAGTGCCGGCCTGCTTCGCCTTGCATTTCGCTTCCTTTCTCTCTCCTTCCCCGCCTTTCGCTGTAGCGCGCTCGCTCTGACCTGATCCGCAGGAATTCATTTGAAAGCACAAAGACAACCGCGGGTTGAAATTCCTAATTTCTGGCGATGGCTTTCTGCCTGCAAAATGTAGGCTGCTGCCAGACTCTAATGGAACAGCTTCGAAATGGGGAGGGGAAGGAGAGTAGGAAGTATGTGGAAATTGGAAGAGAAACGACCGCAAAATGAAAAACTTCACAAAGGCGAGCTTGAACCATATAGGGCCATCTTCTCTGACCCAGAAGGGGAAAGAATGAGTTCCCCCTTAGACGGGCAGGATTTATTTAGATATGTGAGGCTTTGAAAAAGCAAAACTCAAGTTTTAGAATGAGAGGTTGCAGCCGACCTTCCCAAACCCATAAATCGTTTGGCAAAAGAGCCAACCACTTGCTGGACAGTTCTACTTTGTGTTTACACAAAGTTCTCATGTCCCTGCCTTGAACTCCAAATGCAGATATACTATTATTGTGCCCTGGGATTTTCCCAGAATTCTCACACTGAAGGGCCACTTCACTGTTTCCAGATTGGGCAATGCAGCATTACTGGGGCTCAAAGGACCAGGGTTTGGAATGAGGGGAACCAGAAACAAGGAGGCAAAGAAGGATAAAAAAGCTCCAGAGCTGTGAAGTGACAGGGGAAATGAACCAGATTTCCATTCACTATCTATATAGTGAATGGAAATCTGGTTCATTTCCTCTGCCACGATTTTATATATATGTAAGTATAATCTGTTAAAATCTCTTTACAGTCTCTTAAGCTCCTGACTCGAGGCTAGAGCATTTTCGGTTTGCCTCTAGAGTCCTTTTTAAGTGTTGCTATGTTCACCCTGCTGTGTTTTTGCTTTTAGTTGTATGTCATTAAAGTCCCCCCCCCCATTAATGAGTGCTTTGAGCAGCCTTACAGGAACCACTGGTCCCTTAGCTGCGGGCTTTTTGCTTGCTCCATCATCATCAACATACTTCCTGTGTGGTAATCAAGCCAGAGGCCCAAAGTTTTTGTGGGAGGGAGTGGGATTGAGCGTGGGGAAATCAAACTAAGAGTTGTTGTTCACAGAATAATGTAGCAATATTTGAAGACATATAAAATCATCCTGAGGGACATCCCTCTCTTAGTTCTTGCTCCAAAAGAACTAATTTTATCCCAAAATTTATTCCCAGAGTTTGACAGCCTCCATCTGCCCAGTAGCATAAAGAAGTGCTTAAGAGATACAAGTCGTCCTTGACTTATTGCCACAATTGGGACTGCAATTTTGATCACTAAGTGATGTGCTTGTTGAGTGATCATGTGACTGTACCTGATTTTACAGCCATTTTTACTGTGGTCGCTTATCAAATCACATGGTTGATAAATGAATCAAGGTCGACTCAATGAGGTCATTAAGTGAATCTGCCATCCCCAAATGACTCTATTTGTTGGAAACTAGCAGGGAAGCTGGCAAGATGCTGCTGCCATTGTAAATGTGAGCTGTTTGCTTAACACCCAAATTTTGATCACATGACTGTGGTGGTGGTGGTGCGACAGCTATAACTTCAAGGATGGGTTGTAAGTCTGAGACTATCGTAACTGAACTATTGTTAAATAAATGGTCATAAATTAAGCACAACCTATAATTGGTTTGGGGGTAATTTCTTTGGCCTGAGATCAGAAGATCAAGAGCCATCTCCTTCTGCCTCTCTAATCTCTGGATTCTGACCCAGTGGTCCAAAGGCAGCCATGTTATCATTTGGAACTCACCCCACAGAACTTGGTTTTTAAGGTGAAGGCATAAACCTGAATATATGAAGTGGTAATAAAGGGGAGAGCATTTCTGAGCCTACCTCTTGTCCTAGCTTCTGAACAACTGTACAAGATTCCCAAGCAACTGAGATTCAAGAACTGGATGCCCACTTAATTCTTTCTTTTTCACCTGCTAGCTTTGGAATATAAGATTCTGAAGGCCCTTCATAAGCCTTTTCTTATTTCATTCCATCCAGAGTTGTGCATTGTGGGTAGCTGCTTTTTGTATGAGTGGAAAAATGTCTACAGCAAGGCCTCTGTCCCAGCATGACTGAGGCCCTCATGAGAAAAAACACACTCCTTCTTTCCATATTGATTTAATCAAGGCCTTTTTGTGATATCATCTTATATCCCTTTTTCTTGGCAGTTGGAAAGAAAGAATGAACGAGTTAAGGGGGAGAGACTCTTGTTTTACCGGTTTAAACCAGACATGCTGGGTTACATCCTTCACTTGTTGCTCTGTCTTTTTCTTTTCCCAATTTGCTAAGCATGGAATCTGTTGAAAATACTGAATCTGACAGGGCTGGACTCCAGTTTCATCCTTTTCTCCCTGTGAAATTCCTTTTATTAAACCTTAACATAATAAGCAAACAACTCAGCCCTCAGTTTCTGGACCTTGCTCTACAGTTGGGATTTGGAACTATTTTGGTGGGGCAGCTTATCTGTCCTACTGATTCTGACTGTCAGCATTTGTAGAATTGGTATGCCCAAGCTGCCTTCCTTGATTTTGTAATGTCTCCAGGATCTGAGTGGCTGCTGTCAGCAGCAGTTGTCTGTAGTTTCATTTTGCTATCCAATATTTCTTCTGTCCATGAGAACAGGCCTTTACGAGTAAAGGAATTTTTGCAATCGGGATCTTGTGACTTTTTCAACCACAAAGATGTCCTTCTGTTCCTTGGGAACTAGCTGAAATCCTTGTTTACATTTCCTTGGATATTCAGACAGCTTTTCTAGAAGCAGCTCTCTTGGGTTGCCAACACTGCCATAAGCCTAATAGCAAAAACAATTTCAAGATTTACAGGCTTTTAAATACCAGCAGAATTTTATTTTATAAGTCTTTGTGGAACCCCACCTTCTTTGTCAAATTCAAGGTGTATAGCTGCTGGTGTGGGAATAATCCTATTAGCATTTAAGATGCCACAGGTCTGTTTATTTTTGAAGATTGCCCTATTCACTTATTTTTAGTATCTCTTAAATTGGCTACCGCAGCCCAGCTTTTCATCAGCCAGAACAAATTTTGAAAAGGATAGCTAACAGCCTGATAGCAGTATGGCCAAGATACTTTGTTTCTTTCCAAACTATATTAGTATTTCAGAACGTCACTTCCCTGAGCATAGAATGGAGTATAATTATTTTGAATCCTTTAGGTATTACATAGGGCAGTGGTGGCGAATCTATGGCACTCAGAGCCCTCTCTGTGGGCACGCGCACCGTCGCCCCAGTCCTAGGCCTTCAGCTGGGTTTTATAAAACCTTTTCACTTTAGGCCTCTGCCGCGTGTGCAAAAAAAAAAAAAGGTTCAATCAATCAGTCAATTTCAACTTCTCGCAGGAAAAAAAAAGATCTTGCAAAGTTGGAATTGATTGATTGAACTTTTTAGTCCCACCCAGTCTGCCGTTACCACCGCAGCCACGCCCACCCAATGGGCCACACCCATCCAGCACTCAACGATGCATAAGTGGGTTTTGGGTTGCAGTTTGGGACTCGGTCTCTAAAAGGTTCACCGTCACTGGCATAGGGAAATTACTTGATGTAGAACCATACAGGAAAACATAGGTCATAATAGGAGATTCAGTATGAAAAATGATGGGGAGAGAACTACTTGGTAGTAACCTACACAATATGTTGATTTGACAGTTGTCTGTAGTGACAGAAACAGTAGACATCTGACAGACATCCCCTAAACTCTGCTGAAGATGTTACCCTGATCAGAAACCAACCCACAAGGTCAGAGAATGGTATATTGGTATGTAGCCTATGTATTAGCAGGAGATTTGAATGAAGAGAAAGAATCCACTGAATTAAAAACATGACAAGTTTTGTATATTACACGTAGAACAGAACAATGAGTATGCCACTTGAAAACAAAATTTTCCGAGAGCATGACAAGCAGAACAGGACAGATTGGAAGCAAGAAATACAAGAAATATACACCGAAGACCTATATAGGGCTATTTTCTTTCCACAACAAGAAGTTTAGCAACGTTTCTTGGCTCCATCTATTGCAGGCAATAGTCCATGCTGAACTCTAATTAGGTTTCCTCCCTGAGGATGCACTGTTTTTGGAGTTTTAATCTACAGAAAGTAGGCAATGGGTAGCTTTGCAATCATTGGTACAGCTAGCTACAATGGCAGAAGAGAGATTCACATGTGACAATATAGTGCAAAACCTGCCCATGAATTCTTGCCTCCCAATGTTAGACATAAGTATGACATCATAGGACTTGTATCATGACATTGTAATGTATATTTCATCACTTGCCTTCCACTTTTCCCTTATATGCTTATGTTTATAATGATTGGGGCTATAACCCCCAGTTTCTTCTGATAGCTAGGACTGATGGAATTAAAGTTCAAAGCACCTGAAGGACTTCTGATTATTTCTGCTGTAAGGAAAAATGAACCCTCAGCCCACATCCTATTCAGGCAGAACAGAGCTGATTTTTTATTATGTTTTTCTTCTGGATATGCTTGGGATTTTTTTGCAGATTTTTGCAGTTTTAGAAGAGGAAACATAGAAAGCTGTATCAAATTAAACTGCTGATCCATCAAATCCA